AACAAATTAAACATAAAATGATTTATGTTTAAAATAATTGCGTTGGAGATTACACATCCAATTCTGACAATAAGTAGTGTATAAATGTTTCCTACTGCATATCAGATTAATCACTGAAATCCACAAAAATACAAAATAAAATGGCACAATTTTTAATTATAACCAGGAAAAAGGTTTCTAGCATCGTCATTGCAATATAATTATTATTATTGCCACCATGAAATGATCATCATGAATCATTTTAGTGTTTCAAACTGAGGCCTACAGAAGAAACTAATGTAGCTCAGTGTCTTGAATGAAACGAGTTTTTAAATGCCAGAATATCATTACTGATAAAAGCTCAATTAAAACGTGCTCGGCTTTCTGTGAAATGCAGCTCGCCAGCACATATTTCAGAGAAAAGCAACACAGACGGGGGAGAGAGAGACTGTGTGAGAGGTTCCTGGAAGCTCTGAGTGTAAAGCCACACGCAGCACGAGTAAAACCACAGGCTCAGAGGACAGCGCTTAACCTCAGATACTGATACACGTCCTGCTCCAGCGTGAGTGATGAGACTTCAGCAGAGAGCGAGTCACGCTCATGAGCACCTTCTCTGACCTGGAGGAACACTGACTGAGATTAAAAAGACGTGTGAGAGACCATTCCATGCATATTACACACATGCAAGGCAAGAACGGGCTAAAACCGCAGGCTTGATTCATGTTTAAATGTTAGTTTAATCTGCTGTTGAGATGAGTGTCACAGGGCCCTATGATTTCTGCAATGCTGAAAATCCAGAATCCAGTCATAAAAATGGAATGTCACGGAATTTGACCAGCATTCCATCACTTCTTATGATATAAACTCAGAAGAAGCTACACAGAAACTCAAAGAGCTACACTACAATCCAGAAAAAGTGAACGTTCCATTTAACTTTATTTAGACAAATATATCACTATTGTACTTTAGAATGTACATCTCAAACTAATAAAGAAAATGTTAACACTTCATTTTTTAAGGAATATCTCAATTTTATTTAATTTTAACAGCAAAGCACTTTGTTTTCTGAAAAAAAGAATTGTTTTTATTTACATTAAAAAAATTCATTAAATTGTTGCCGTTTCAAGCCTTCATTTGTTTACCACAATTTTTGATGATAAATGTGCATTAAATCATAAATTCAGAAAAAAAATGTACAACAGAATTTCTGAAAAAAAAAAAAAATTTTTTTTTAAAAGCATAGGGCCCTATTATTTTAAGTAAATTATTAAAATGTTTCATGTGTTCTGTTGATTAGACATTTTTCTGATTAAAATTGAATTAAACCATTAAAATGGAAATGTAAACAAAACACTGAATTTGTGAAAAATTTAATGGAAACAGATTTTTTTTAAGGGCCCTAAAAATGTATTTTTTTTTGATAGGTTGTTAAATTGCATAAGACTTTTTAATAAGTACAATTTTATTTAACCATCTAAACAAAATTCACAAAAATGAGAATGGAAAAAACTGTATTTGGAAAGAAATAAAATGGAATTTAGGGGGGAAAAATGAATCTGATTAGTGTCCTCACCTTAAAGTGAATTCAGACGTGATGCTTTCCCAGAAGGAGCAGAGCCAGTGGAAGACAGACAGTGTGGACAGCATCCTGGTGTCGTCGGCCTGAGCTCTGCCCCATCCTCACAGCACTGAAACACACACACTTCACTCAAACAATGAAGGGTGAGCAGCAGCACAATTCTTACCTTAACTATAAACACAAAAATGTACATGGGGCAGAAGTTATTAGTCAGTTTTCAGGCAGTGGAGCCTCTACAAAAGTGGTGAACTGGAATCATTTACTAGTCGTTTCACATCTCCTACCACTTGGCCATGATGAAGTAGCGTCGACTGGAGCTCCCAGAGTGATGTTGATGCAGCGGACGGTGTCGATGTTCCTGAAGACCAGCAGCATGGCCATGTCACGCATGTAGGACGTCTCCTCTCGCGTCAGGATGTTACCCAGACCCAGACCCCACATGTTGATCGGCCGCTGCAGCAGCATCTCACTGAAGAGGAAGTATTCTGGGACAGACCAATGAGATGGTAACATCAAATTACTGAATGAATTTTTGTACTTACACACAAACATGCGCACACACAAAATACACACAAACACACACACACACACAAACAAATACACACAAACACGCACACACACACTAACAAACAAACAAACACACGCACGCATGCACACACACCAACAAATACACACAAACACGCGCGCACACACACACACACACACACACACACAAAAAATAGTCAAGTCAAGTCAAGTCACCTTTATTTATATAGCGCTTTTAACAATACAGATTGTGTCAAAGCAACTGAACAGCATTAATTAGGAAAATAGTGTCAATAATGCAAAATGACAATAGTAAACACTCATTTTTCAGTTAAAGAC